ATCGTCATTTCTTTCTGACAAATATGCAGGCAGGGTAGAGAGCTGGTCAGTTCAGATGCACATTTTACAATGAACTAATGTGCACAGTACTCATTCTTGGGTCTTCAAAATGATCCTTTCGGTTCAAGAGGCCCTTAGCCATGGAATGTCTCCTCACCCGCACACAGTGACTTGGACCCTCCCCGAATTCCTAATCTCTAGTCTACACGCCAAGCCTGGGCCCACCACCCAACCATACCTGCCTGGCCCCCAGGTGCTCCAAAAACACACCGTGGGGTTTTGCCACCTCCCATCACCTACCACCCATGCCCCACACTGGTTCCCACGCCTGTTTAAAACACTCTCTCTGCTGGAAAACTGCCCCCCACCCAGTCCCAAGTGCTAATGAATCCAGGTCTCTGTTTCCACAGCATTTAGTCTAAATCCGAATTATTATTATTTCCACCTATCTGAGGGCCCTGAGGTCAGGGTCACTGCCCATTCATCTTTGTATCCTGCCCAGGGCCTCACCTGCCATGTGTGCGCTTTATAAACATACCCCTGGAGTACGGACAAAAAAAAAAGCTCTGTGGGAAATTACAGGGCAGAGGAAAAAATGTGCAGAAAGGAGGCCTGGTCTCCAGAGTACACGAACGTTTTTATTCTGTCGTTCTCATGACTTCTCTTGAAGACCTGAGATTAAAAACACTTCCAAGTCCCAGATCTGCACTCTCCCCTCTTACAATGATAAAGCCTGGATCCTTTGGCCCAGGTGTGGGGTAGGAAGGGGGCCCAGGGCAGGACGTTGCTTGGAAGCAGCCCCTCGGGGAATGGCCTACTCTGCAGGGATGGTAGGCACCGACCTGTGGAAGGATGCTGTGAGCCAAAAGTGGGTTTTCAAATAGCCAATCCAACTCCTCCCGTTGCAGCCTTGGACGAGTCGCTTATTTTCTCTAAGCCTTGGGTACCCCCATCTGCAGAATGGGTATAATACTCACGGAGTTGTAAGGAAAGCAAAGGAATACCGTTCATATCGAGCTCTTGCTGAAAGTATCCCCCAGCTGTGTTGGGGTAGACAGACTCTTTTGGACTCGACTAGAAGTAGGGAAGCCCAGCTCATACTTTCAAACCTCCCAATCTTTCAATCAAATATTTCACCTCAGTCAACACAAATGTGGTCTTCCAGCAGAAACTTAAGAGGATCACCTGGGCCTCACAGTCCTACCTTACTGACATTCCATGGTACGGGACTTAGTCATCTCCTGATTCAGACACCTGCTGAACGCTTCCATGACTTGTCAATGTCTCCGGAAGTGGTTTCTGAAACACACCTGAGACTGGCTTCTTGGGCCCACAACCTCCATCTCTCTCCACCTCCCTCCTGAGCCCACCCCATGTGAGAAACAAAGTACTTCCAGAAGCTCGCTCCTGTCCAAAGTGAGCCACAAGTAGTCAAGGTAACAAACCCAAGGAAGATGCGTCTTTTTGAGGAAGGGAGCCCAAAAGGAATGCTCCGGAATCCTTGCTTCACCTTGGGACCTGGCCTCCCGTGCTTCTGCGGCTCAGTGCGCTTCGCAGACTCCGACCCTCCACGTTTATCCCTGGCGGGTCTTGTCTCCCAGTTCACACTGGATTCTTTGCCAGGGCCCCTCTCGGCACCTGCACTCTCTGCTCTCCAGCTCAGGGTGTCAGGGCGGCTGCGTGTGCAGGGCGGGCGCACCGTCCAGGCTTCAGCTCACCCGCACCTCCTCTGCAGGACTCCCCTCCCTAGGCACCACACACACTTTCCCGCCTTCTCCCCTACTAGCCCATGAGACAGGGGCTGCCTTTGTTGACTGCTCTGCTTCCAGCACCTTGCTGCAGACACCCACTGCAGGAGTAGACCACCAAACAGCGCCTTAGGCCACCACCAGCCGGGGCAGGAGCCAACACTCGTGGCTCTGACAGCAAATACACAGTCTGGAAATGACCTCCACACATGCCCTACTCCAACACCAGGTATTCTGGGGGGGGGGGGGCAAGGGCCCCGAAGTGGCTGAGGGTCCAGCTAGGCAGCAGCAGCTCAGAGGGAAGAGACCGTGGCTTCATTTTGGAGCTTCCGAGGAGGGCAAGTGGCACACTGCGTGGCTGCCCTACTTAGCCAGCCTCCTTCCTAGCACTCTCGAAACTGTGCCACAGGATTCTCAACACTAGCACGACCTCGAAGGCTCAAGAACAGCCGTCGACTTCCCAGGGACCAGCAAGTGCAGGAAAAGAACGTTACCAGCACCACACTCAGGCCATGAGGACCACTGCTACTAGCTGTGCGGTAAGAATTCACCCCGGACGTCCAGGGGCCTTGTTTAACCTGACAGGACAAGGAAAGCTCGCGCTTACTGAAGGGAAAAGACCATGTGGCATCCGGGTCCCCAGTTCAAGATCCCAGCTGTCATTTGGTAGTTGTGGGGTCAAGGTCAAATCACTCTGAGTCTGTTTCCTCATCCGAACACCAGGGATGACACAATGCTTCCTCACAAGGCTGCTGGAAGGACGAAACGAGGTCCCCGAGAAAACGTGTGCAGCACGCAGACTGCACATCCGCAACCTTAAGGGAAAACCTATTTCAGGCAGCGCCTGAGTGCAAGTGCACGCGACTGTCCGGGAGAAGTCTGAGCTCTCCCAGGCCCTGGCCACAAGCCCATGCTTTCAGGAAATTCCTAATGAAGCAGGAAGTAGCATATTTTCCCAGATAACCTCCACTTTATCCATTTCCAGCCTACAGTTTTTAATGACCCTCTTTACTGAACGACTGCTCTTCAAAGAGACTTTATTTTATAGTATTTTGCCTCTGGAGGAAGTTGAAGCTCGGAGCTCTCTGGGCTCTTAAGAAAAAGAATGAAATCCTGCCATCTGCAACAACATGGATGGACCTAGAAGGTATTGGACTAAGTGAAGTAACTCAGACAAAGACAGTTACTGTACGATTTCACGTCTATGTGGAATCTAAAAAACAAAACAGTAACAGACTCATCAACACAGAGACCAAACTGGTGGTTGTGGGAGAGAAGGATGGGCATGGGACGGGCAGCTGAAGGCGATTAAGAAGTACAACCTTCCAGTTATGAAGTCAGTCGGTCACTGGGATGTAATGTACAGCAGAGGGAACATAGTCACTAACACTGTAATAACCGTGGGTGGTGACCAGTGAGTAACTAGACCCATCAGAGTGATCATTTTGTACATTTGTAATGTATAGAAGTATCAAAACACTACGCTGTACACCGGAAACTAACATAACATTATAGGTCAGTTATACGTCAATTAAAAACAAATAACAAGAATTCAGAGATGGGCAGCATGACAGAGGGAGGAAGCCCTGGGTTGGGTAGGAGCTGGGCACCTGCTGGTTCCTGGGGCACCTGTCTTGTACATGTGTGTCTCAGGCTTGTCACGATTTATAAGAGGCAGAGGCCAAATCTCTGGGCCCCTTCCTGCTTTAACATGATCTGACTGTATAAATTAACGTAATGTAAGAGGTTCTACTTAGTAGTTGGTACCTGCCCCAACCATGTGCGCATAGCAGCTCTGTCTCTGGGCTGCTGCTGGACGCCCGTGCAGGGCACCCCTTCAGGAAGGTGAATCCCTGTCAATTTCTTCCGATTCAACAGCTCTGAGGAGACTGAAGAGGAGATGCAGTGACTGTTCCAGGAGAAAGTGTCCTCCTTACATGCCTCAGAAGCCATCCGGCTGCCAGAGACGCTGGGTCCTCAGCCCAGGGCAGAAGCCACACATGGACTTTTCTTTTTTTAAAGGCTGGTAGCACTTACTGATTCTAAGACTGCAGTGTACATCAAGGCTCACAGAACAGATTATCTGGAACTGACCAGGAATGAAATTACAGTCAGTTTCTAGATCACTTCTCTGGCAGGCCGAGGGAATAAGAGTTTGAGGCAAACTGGAGCACGCCAGCTGCATTCTCTCCTATTAACTCCCAATGCTCTTCGAACTCGCCTAATGCGATGCAGTCAGTTGAAAAGTCAGGATGCCGGAGGATGCTGGCTTCCCATCCCTGAAGCTTTGGGGAGCAGAGCCAACCCTGTCTCTGGCTAGGTATTATACCAAGGTTACCACATAAAATCCAGAACACCCAGGTACATTTGAATTTCAAATAAACACCACATCATTTTTTGATCTAAGTACGTTCCATGTAGTATTTGGAGGATACTTATGGGGAAAAAAATGCTTCATTGTTTATCTGAAATTCCAATTTAACTGGGCACCCTGCATTTCTATTTGCTAAATATGGTAACCTTAATTACACCCATTTCAAGCAAAGACTAGTTGGTTCTTAGTCTCCAAAGTATAAAAACATCCCCAAACCAACCTCTCCCCGGCCAAAACAAAAACTTGTCTTGTTTGTTCCTCAAAACAAAACTTGTCTTTTTATTTTCCAGGACATGTTTTTTAAAAGTAGGTCCGTAAGTATCTAATAAAAAACAGAAAAAAGAGATGTGCCTTCTTGTAAGTCTCCGATTTAAGAGCTCAGCATGCCACTGGCCACAGGCTCTGGGGCCAGGTGGCTCTTTGGGCAACCCCGACTTCAAACGCAACTGGCTTCCAATTCATCGGGGTAGGGGGAGAAGGCAGGAAGAACAGAATTTAAAGGTGGCTACTTTCTCAAAGAGGCCCACTGGGGCAGAGGGACAGGGGAGGAGGCAGGTGCTGAGGGCAGGAGAATGAGAGGAAGCAGGGCGCCACAGCTCAAGCCACAGGACATACGTGTCCTTGTACACAGAACACCCCCCACCCACTGACAGGTTAACTGTGAGATACAAGAAAAAGTTATTGCTCTTACAGAAGGCCCAGTAGTTGAGGGAGAGACGCGTCCCTGCCCCACCGTCACCCCCGGCTTCTCCCCCATCTCGGCACTTGGCCTGGGCACCCACGGCTAGCGTTCTGGGCGGCCACGAGCTGCAGGGCCTCGGGCCGTTCGCGCTGCTGGGGTAGGTGAAGAGACAAAACACCTCCCCGAGTTTTTTTTTTTTTTTTGAAATTACATTTATCATTCTGGTCAAAAGTTACTCAGATAATGCAGTGGTCTTAAATTTTTATTTTGCATGGTTATACAGTCTGAATGACTAGCTTGCAATCCGAGGCAGTTTTTATAAGCTTTGCTCTGCAAAATGGTGTTAGTGTTGTTGTAGGGCAAAGTCCTCATCGATAAAGAAATTACATTAATGAAAGGAAATCAAGAATGATGTGCTGGCACGTCAGATTACAAAGTGGCTCTACGCAAGCCAGTCCCCAACTTCTCACAGCAAGGGAGTTCAAGAGCTAGAAATTCCTTAGAAAAATTAAATGGCACCTATAACACTCATATAAGGGTAAAGTTTGTAAATTTTTAATCCATGGTACTCAAAAGTAAGAGAATTAAATACAAAGCTACAATTGGGTAAATCTTCTCACTTCCTCTTCTTCGTGGAATATAGTTTTTCTTCAAGTGGGACAGGGACAATCCCCTCACACTCTTTTACTTCCTGGGTCAGAGGGTGTTTTACAACATTCGGTCTAATCACATCAATGTCTCGAGACAAATGTTCCATTATGCTCTCAACAGCTGTGGCTGGTGCATAAAAATCCACCAAGAAATACCTGCAATAAAATAAAAATTTGTGAATTTCTGCATTCTGAAATACAACACTTCCACTATTTTGGTCAATGTTTTCACTTTACTCCTCTCCAGGTAAGATCGGCTACACAAAAAAACACACACACACTTTGTCAACATAGGAACTACCAACTGACCAGCTAAACGGAAGTGTTTGCCCAACCTCCTCCTTCCCTATGGCCGGGTCCCCTTACACTCTTGCGAAAATCTGAATCCTAACAAACTTTGTGGTAGCAAAAAGCACTGTGACATTACATACAGTGCGAAGTATATGAAGTACAGTAAGATCATGGGTCTAAGGAACAGAATGTACTATTCAACAAGGCTGAATTTCTCAAACTATTTTTTGAGAAAACATCTATTGGGTAAGTCTTCTAGTTTTCTAACGGATTTTACAAGTAACTTAATGCACCCGAGGGGCACAGTACATACCAACGGCCACACTTCACAAACAAGGGAAAAGATTCTGAAAGGCCTGGGACTTGTCTAAGACTATCCTGCATGTTCGAAAACTGACAACAGAAGGAAAATCATGGGAATCTGGGGTATGGGAAAGAACTGAACATTCCTCCACCCACAGCAGACTACCCCAGAAGGGCACCGCAGCCAGCCCACTCTTCTTACCACATCAACAACTTCATCAGCTCAGCTGGATGACGTTACAAAGGAAGAAGCAGCCCTCCTCCCTGCCCGCGCCCCCCTCTCAATTCTAAAAGCGTAAGCCTCCCTTGTACTGTTGGGTTTGAACCACAGTGCTGTGAAAGGCCAGTTTTCAGTGCAGTAGTTCAGAATTCTGCAATGTTCCAGCTGGCTGAGATGACCTCTGACATCGCTTACTTTGTTCTAGCCACACTCTCCTCCCCACGCATATTCCCATCCTAGGTCTTTGCGCTCACTGTTCCTTCTGCCAGAAATGTTCTTCGCCCGAGTTCCACAGAGCTCACCCCTCACTTCCATCCTGTCTGGGTCCAAATGTCACTTTGTCAGAGGTCCTCTTTGATCACATCTCCTAAAGCAACACTAAAACAACATCCTCCTTGCCTGCCCACCCAACCTCGTTACTCCATCGGCCTTACTCAGTGCTTTATTGCTTCCCAGAGCGCTCATCACCACAGATAGAGTACATATTTGCTTATCATCTACCTCACGCCACTACAACATAACCGCCCTCAGCAGGACTCTGTTGCTCTATCCCCAGCACCCTGAACAGAGGCTAACATACACCAGGCCCACAGTAAATATCTGGCTGCAGGACTGTTAGCATGAGACGTGAAATTCTCACAGAAAGCAGAAGAGACCAGACTGAAAATGGACAGATTCGACACGGGAGTTAGGAGAAAAGGGCTGACATTTTTGTAATTCCATACAAAGAGAGTTCAAAACATATAAAACAACTTCCCAGGTGAACATTCACCCTTAGCTGAGCCTCGTGGGAAAGTTATTCAAGTAAATAATTATTAAAAGTGAAAGGACTGAAAAACATACACCATGCAAAAACACTAATCAAAAGAAAGCTCAAGTGGCTACAGTAGTATCAAAGTGGATTGCAGATCAAAGGAAATTACCAGGGATAAAAAAAGATAATATATAATGATCAGTTCACCAAGAAGACACAACAATCCTAAATGTGCATGTACCTGACAAAAGAACTTCATCATACAGGAAGTAAAAACGAACAGAACTGAAAAGAGAAATAAACAAATCCACAATTATGGTTGGAGACTTTTAATATTCTTCTCAGTAATCGATAAAACTAGTATACAGAAAATCAGCAAGGATATAGAAAAAGTGAGCACCACCATCAACCAACATTTATAGAACCCTCCAAACAAAAAGAGCAGGATACACATCGTTCACAGTTGCAAACAGAACATTTACCAAAGTCAACCATATTCTGGGCCATAAAATGAGACTCAATAAATCTAAAGGGATTCGAATCTCACCGAAGACACTTGGGGAAATCCCCAAATACGTGGAAACTACACATACATCTAAATAGTCTATGGGTTAAAGAACAAATCAAAAGGGAATGTGAATTGAATGAAAATGAAAACCACCAATCAAAGTTTGGGGAATGCCACTAAAGCAGGGAATTTGTAGCACTAAACATCTATGTAAGAAAAGCGGAAAAGCCTCAAAACTTCCATCTTAAGAACCTAGAAAAAAAAAGAACAGGGCGCCTGGGTGACTCGATCATCTGCCTTTGGCTCAGGTCATGATCCCAGGGTCCTGGGATGGAGCCCCACATCAGGCTCCCTATTTAGCGGGAAGCCTGCTTCTCCCTCTTCCACTCCCCCTGTTCATGTTCCCTCTCTCTCTGTCTCTGTCAAATAAATAAATAAAATCTTTAAAAAAAAAAAAAAAAAGAACAAATTATAAACACAAAGTAAGACCACGGTCGGGGGGGGGGGAAGAAAAGAATAAATATCAGAGCAGAAATCTCTGAGGCAGAAAACTGTAAAATAATAGAGACCATCAATGAAACCAAATACCAGTTCACTGAGACCAATAAAATTGATCCACCTCTAGTCAGACTGATCAGTATAAAAGGGTAAGAGACAAATTCAGGAATGAGAGAGGTGAAATGGCTACAAATTTTACAGATAATAAAAGGATAGAAAAAGACTATTATAAACAAATTTTACAATAAATTTGACAACTCAGATGAAACTCCTTGAAAAATATAAACTACCAAAACTTCCTTCAAAAAACAGCTAACCCTCTACCTATTAAAGAAATCAAATGTGTAAGTTAAAAACCTTTCCAAAAGAAAACCAAAGACTCAAATGGCTTTACCAGTGAATTCTACCAAACGTTTGAGGAAAAACACCAATTCTGACACAAACTGGTACTGAAAATAGGACAACACTTCCCAATTTGTTCTATGAGGCCAGCATTACCCTGATGCCAAAATCAGACATGAAAAGAAAAGAAAAAACTGATCAATATCTCTCACAAACATAAATAAAAAAAAATTCTAAAAGTTTTAGCAAATTGACTACTAAAATATATGCAAATAATAATACATCATGGTCAAGTAGAGTTTATCAAAGAAAACAAGATTGGTTTAACATCTGAAATCAATCAATATAAATCACCATATTACCAAACTACAAAGAAAAACCATAACATGGGTATTAAGGAGGGCGCATGTTGTGATGAGCACTGGGTGTTATACACAACTACTGAATCATTGAACACTACATCAAAAACTAATGATGTACTATATATTGGCTAACTGAACATAATGAAAAGAAAAAAAGAAAAGAAAAACCATATGATGATTCCAACAGAAAAAAAAAAAAAAAGCATTTAACAAAATTCCATATCCAATTCCTGACAAACTCTCAGCAAAGTATAGCTACAAGGGAACTACTTCAACTGTACAAAGGATATCTCTGCAAAACCTGTAACTAACATCATACCAACTGGTCAAAGTCTTAATGCTTTTCCCTGAAACTGAGACTAAACAAGGGTGTCTGTTCTCACCATTTCTATTCAACATTTTACTGGAGGTTCTTGCCAGCGCAATAAGGCAAGAAAAAAAAGAAAAGGCATCCAGATTGATAAGGAAGTAGTAAAATTGTCTGTATTTACAGATGAAATGATTGTATATATAGGAGAATCTAAGAAATTTACAAAGAGGATACTAGAAATAATATGTGAGTTTAGCAAGGTTGCAGTCTACAAAAATCAACTGTATTTCTATACACTAGCAACGAATAATCACACCTTGAAATTAAATATGAAATACTTAAGGATAAATCTGACAAAAGGTGTGCAAGACCTGTACACTAAAAACCCTAAAACATTACTAAAAGAAATTAAAGAAAACTGGCATAAATGGAGATATAACTTGTTCATTAGTAAGAAGATTCAAATTTGTTTAGATGTCAATTCTCCAAAATTGATCTATAAATTCCTAAGGATCCTAATCAAAATCCTAAAAGACATTTTTGTTAGAAATTGATGAACTGATTCTAAGCTACAGAGGAAAATTTCAAAGGACCTACAACAGCCAAAACAACTTTGATTTCAAGAATAAAGTTGAAGGATTAATACTACCTGATTTCAAGACTCATTAAAAAGTTATGGTAATTGGTGATGGGTATTAAAAGAGGGCACATTCTAAAGAAACAGTCCACAAAACCAAAAGACAACCAACTGAATGGGAGAAAATATTTGCAAATGACATATCAGATAAAGGGCTAGTATCCAAAATCTATAAAGAACTTATCAAACTCAACACCCAAAGAACA